AAAAGAAAAAATGAAAAATTCTCTACATTATGTAAATGTACTCCATATTAAGTTTAAATTTAACGACTCATACGAATTAGTTTGTAATCTGAATTAAAACAAAAACCGAAAGAAGTAAGCGTAAACTCTTTTACTTGGTATGGTGTATAAATTAGTAGTCTATATAGGAACTTACTTTCAGGCAAGGGTATTACCAAAGGTTTATTCTATTGTGCATACATTTGCTATTGATGTTTTACTTTATTTATTTATTTATATTTTTTTAACTATTTAGAAACTTACCTTCGGGCAGAATACATAGAATACTCAGAATATATATATTTTTATTTATTTTTTTTTGCTTGTAGATATGTCTTCAAATGTATATATTTGTGTGCGTGTGTATATGGAAATATAGGTCGTCATAATTTTTTTTATAATGGTTAAAATTTTCAGATTTTATTTTTGTTGACTAAGAGACGATCCTACTTATCTCCAGACAGGGATTTTTCCAACGACTTTCCAATGCTTTTTCTTCAAAGGAATGTTAAAATTTTAATAATATTTACTATATGATATTGTGTTTACGAGAAATTTGGTCATTTTAAAAGCATCCAAAACATAATTAAAATTAATTTTCATGCATCTAGTATATTATGTGCCTCGACATGGAAACGTTTCAGTTTGTGTAGTGGTCTGATCCATTTGGACGTGCAACGATTTCAGGGCTCGCGTTTCGCGTGAATCAATCATATAGCAGACCACCTCGGATTGGCTTTGAAAGGCCAAGAGGCCGGCGGTGCCATGGCTGAGATCCAAGTGCCGGAAGCGATCGATGTTGCAGGTGCAGCCATCGAATACATAAAACATGCTCGACTGCTCTAACATCTGATTCATTGCATGCTTGAAGACCACATAGTTGCCCCACGGCGTGATGGCCAGYACTCGATTCGTTACYTTGAAGGCGGAGTCCAGCAGACGGTTGAGRCTCTCAACGGTGCCGCTCTCGGAGCCAGCGACAGTCAAATTAAAAGGATATTTGGTATAGACAGGATACTGGATCGCTGCACTCTGGCCAGATACCTCGCTATTTGGCTTGGTGCCCTCGARCAGCTGGGGACTATGACTATTATCACTTTCCTTGCACTTCGACTCGTCGCACTGGCTGCAATCGGAGCGTTTGAGTTTGCTCAGTTTTATGGGCAAATACTTGGCACACATTTTGGCATCGAGTTTCGAAAATTTGTCAGCCATTACCTGCTGCTCCTGCTCCTGCTCCTGCGATCCCCTGGACTTCACTTTCTTGGCCAGTGTCGACACGGTGTCAGCTTGAAAACCCTTGCGCTTCATTCTCGGCGCCATTTGCCGGGCAGCGGGCGCAACGAGTTGCTCTAAGCCGCCTTCACTTCGTGGTGGCTTGGTGCTAGGTGGANCTTGAAGACCACATAGTTGCCCCACGGCGTGATGGCCAGTACTCGATTCGTTACCTTGAAGGCGGAGTCCAGCAGACGGTTGAGGCTCTCAACGGTGCCGCTCTCGGAGCCAGCGACAGTCAAATTAAAAGGATATTTGGTATAGACAGGATACTGGATCGCTGCACTCTGGCCAGATACCTCGCTATTTGGCTTGGTGCCCTCGARCAGCTGGGGACTATGACTATTATCACTTTCCTTGCACTTCGACTCGTCGCACTGGCTGCAATCGGAGCGTTTGAGTTTGCTCAGTTTTATGGGCAAATACTTGGCACACATTTTGGCATCGAGTTTCGAAAATTTGTCAGCCATTACCTGCTGCTCCTGCTCCTGCTCCTGCGATCCCCTGGACTTYACTTTCTTGGCCAGTGTCGACACGGTGTCAGCTTGAAAACCCTTGCGCTTCATTCTCGGCGCCATTTGCCGGGCAGCGGGCGCAACGAGTTGCTCTAAGCCGCCTTCACTTCGTGGTGGCTTGGTGCTAGGTGGAACTTTAGGCGGTTTGAGGGATGCTGCAGCCGCTAATATTGCCATTTTCGGCTTATTGGACTGCCAGGAGTTAAAGGATGTAATGTAATGTAAGCCGATGAACTCCTTCGCTCGTTCCACTTACCATCTGTGTCTGAAAATTTGCTTTCGTATTTGYTACTCCCCCTCCCTTCTTATCGAAATTGGTTTTTTCATTGTTTATGTCTCGCCTGAATCGAGCTGGCTTTATAGTCTCCACCTCCACCTCCACCTGTACTTTTTCCAAGCCKACCTCCTCCGCCGGCTCGATGGCACGGTCCGGCCCAGAGACGAGCTTCAATGTCTCCAACTCGGTTGCATCCTCTGTGGTGCTGATCATATCCGGTTCGAAATCACTAATCTCGGCCAGCTGGCGGGCGCACTTGCCCAACTGTTGAGGAAAGTCAATGGGCTCGTTAATAGGCTTTAACTCACAATACGCATCTTCGGCCCTCGGCTTCAGCGCATATCCATGCGGACATTTTGCTATATTCTTGATGCGCACGACATGCAAGTAGAACGGTGCATGGCGATTGGACTCCTTCAGCAGTTGATGGAAAACATTGAGCATGCCACACAAATCACGAAACATTCGCACCGTCGCCCACTTCTCCAATTTCATGCCATTTTTCTGTGCTTGTGGGCTGACCACAATATGCCTGTAGGGATCCAGTAAATAGTAGAAATTGTCCTTACACCACATTGCGTAGATCTGGTTGTTGATCTGGAACAGGGCGTTGCCATAGTCTCTCAGGACTCGGCGTATCTCATAGTCAAAAGCGTTGCCCTAATTTTGGAAAGGACGAGAAAAGTGGGGTTAGATGASAGTTGGACTTTTGGTAGAGCTAAGTTGATGCAAGRAAGGACGAAACCYGAAGGACGAAAAAGGATCTTTGCATAAATCAGAAAAAAGGGAAGAAAGGGCTGAACTCTACGAACAGAAATGGATAATTTGGGTAGGAAATATAACAAAGGATCTTAKCAGATATCAGAAGGAAAAAGAAAGAAAAGAGCGACAGCTTCAGCTCTCTCCCTCCCTCATTCCCTCACTCATCTTGAAGACACCAAACACCCACCTGAGTTGGTAGACCAACACGCCATCTTCCACGACCAA